CAATGATGTAAATCAGGTTTTTTTAAAAATAGAAGAGCATTTAAACACAGTAGACTCCTTGGAAAAAGGTGGGTATATTTTTATTTTTATTTTATTTCATTTTATTTTTTAAGGCAGTGAACCCTCTGAGCTTTTGGATTTCAGACATAGGGCAGATACATGTAACGTCCATTCACCTACTCCTGAGCAGTTATGTGGGTACATTACTCAATTCAGCTCTGTACTTGCAATATTGCAGAAATGTGACTTGAACGTCCTCATAATATACTTCTTGCTGCCAAATAATAGTTTAAAGGTAAATAACATCTTTTTCTGTACCAAAAATCAGGCTAAACACTGTTACAGTGACTCATTTGTTCAAATTTCTCTAAGGTCAAAACTACTGCCAATATGTTTTTATGCAAGATTTAAGATTTCTATCATAAGTTGTTGTGTGGTAATAGTTGCTGTTAACAATTATTCCCTTGGAGACAGTCCCTTAAATACTTCATAAATCACAAAATTCATTGACTTCAAAGGAGAGGCTTTTTTACGAGTGAGATCCAAGCGTGACTCAGAATATTTAGCACTAACATTTTGGGATTTATCCCGCAGCGACTGTGTTTCAGTCATGCTCTTGGAGCCCTGCGCCCTGACCTCGTATCACTCATCAGGGCTGCTTATGACTCACCCCAGAAATTAGGAATAAGACACTAGTGCCCTTTCTAGACTTAAATGTGCCTGTCACCCTGGTATCGGATCCTCCAAGTTTGAGTCAGCCGGTGGAATGGCATCACTGCCAAATAAGAGACGTCACCGCAAAAAATTGCCCCTTTTGCTGCATAAACCATACAGAAATCAGCATTTAATAAGTGCCAAGAGACAGAATAATCTTAAAAGAGTCCAGCTTTAACACTTTTATGAGAAAGTGATGCATCTACTTACGGTGAACTTCATTTTGGTGGCAGGAAAGGCACGTTCTGCTGGGAGTTGCTGTGTACTCTTACTTTTTATACATGGACACACCAAAGTTAAATGTTCAAATGGGGTTATCTTGCTGGCAAGTGTCCTCTATTCACAAAGCCAGGATTTACTTCCCGTGGTACTGATCTGATAGCAGCAGGTCTTGATACCGGCTTGATTGAATTCAAGAATTCAAACGGGAAGATGAAAAAAAGAATTCTTGGAAGGTTCCATATAGTGAATAATAAAGTCTAAAAAATAAAAACTGAAAAATATTTAATATTAATATTATAATATTTAATATTAATATTATAATATAATATTAATAAGTGATATTTTGTGCCTATGTGACAAAGGACTCAACCTGGTTGTTTTTATCCACAATTCATACACTTTTTAGAATAGCAAGATTTCCAGCTCTATTCATTTAAAAGACATCAAGTTGTGTCTCCAGAAATGAGATTAGCTCTAACTCATGAAAATTATTGATTTCTTTTGTTTAGCTTTCTCTCTCAATCTTTTCAGCACTGTTCTGTCTGTTAGGATCAGCTTACCAAGCTTCTGGCCTGGATTCTGCATTTTTGCAGAGATTCTTAACAGAATAATAATAAGGAATATTAGGGATTCTATATCAATTATTATTAAGCAAGTAGCTTTTAAAAAATCTGAATTTGAATTCTGTGATTAATATAGAACCGTTCTATAGGATGAGCTATTTGCCTTGTTTGCTTGTGAATAGAGAACTTTGTTTTTACAGTTGAAGTGCAAAATAATGAAACCAGGTTATGAAGTGAAATGATTTGTGGATGCCGAATGGGGACAGGTAGGTGTTTAGCCTCCCAAGATTGAACCAAGCATAACAGAATATTTCTATGTCACAGAATCCTCTCGTAGTCTCCAAATACTTAATTATTCAACTGAGTTCTCATGAGAAAGACGTTGAGAAATGGAGCTGTATTATGCTAAGCCCTGCGGTGTCATCAGCAATGAGCTGGAAAGCAGCTTTGTCCATTTGTTGCAGCAACCATGGCCAATTTGGCTATTCCAATAATGTGTCACACTTGGAAGTCTCAACCTCCAAATCCTCCATCAACTTTTGATTATTTAAATAGTTTATATGGCAGACACACAGCGCTAGAGCACGACATCAAGACGAGCTTAAGAAACTAATTACAATAAAAGAAGTCAGGAAAAGGGGGAAGGAGGGACAGCTTTACTGTAAGGTTGTTCTTTGCCCAGTACAAGCTTGTGTCTCTCTGATTTTTAAGGCTTTGCCCAAAGCATTCTCTTTTCCTGTATTAAATTGTTGTATCAATGTACAGCAAACAGTTATGGCTAAGAATTATATGAGTTTAACCATATTCTCAAATTAGTGTTCTGTTTGGCACACACATGCTTCAATTTTCGTATGATTTGGCTGATTTTTAGCAAAGAAAAAAGTACTGAAATTATTGTTGGATTGAGCCTAGAAGCTTAGCTTTTGACAGCTTATTTAAACTATGTTTTACCTGACCCTTGGCCACACAGAATTTTCCAGGCAGTGCCATAGTTTCTTGACCCAATATCGCTGATTTCCCTCCGAAACCCAGCATGGCCGGTTGTATGCAAAGGTAAATACAGAGAATTTTGTTGATTTTTGAGGTGTTGCTTGATTCTTTACATTCCTCCCACTACTTTCTTATTTCCTGATAAAGCAAATACTTATCAAAAGTACATGGAAAAAAAAAAAAAGAGTCTCCAAGAGAGTTTATTAATGCCAGCCTTATTCCCACCTGAATCTGATTGAATAAATCTCCCTTATGTGTTGAAATTCCTGTTTGGCAATCAGACTTGGACTGCAATTGTCCAACTATACATTTCACTCTAAGTTCTGAAGTTTAAATTATTTTTAGAGGATGATGGTGCCAAGTGGTGGGCCAGATTGTCTTTGTAATTTTACTTATGCAAATTGTGAGTTATTCTGTAATTTAATCATATTTTGCTCAAATACATTAGAACAAACTTGGAAATATTTGGCATTATGAAAATAGCAGAGAGATGAACAGTTTCCTGTGACCTGTCGCTGTGTTGCAACAATGATTTTCAGAGCATATTGCTTTTGTTCCAAAAAGTATTCAAATCCTATTTTCTTGTAACACTTGAGGCAAAAGTGACTTCACTTGGGAAAAAGCTTGAGGGTTTCCAGATTGAAAGAGTCCAAAGGAAGAAGACTACCTTGAGAAATGGGAGTAGCATCCAAAAGTCCAGGTTCACCAGGGAATTCTGAGGCTGCAGCGGTTGCTTCCCGAGCCAAACCCGGCTCCATGTGAGGACGGACCAAAGTGAAAATGCTCTGCAAGGAAATAAGAGCATCTCATAGCCCTTCCTATGCAGCTGGTTGCTTTGGTTAATTAAAGCAGACGAGCACTTGAAGGCTCAGCTGCCTTCAAGTCTTGCTTGCTCAGTAGATACCTGCATATTTCAGGTGCAGTAATGGGAGATTGCACATTCACTGTGGACAAAAAGTCTCCAAAAAGCAGAATTTTCCTTCTGGAGGAATATACAGGGTCCCCTTGAGTAACAGACCAGCATCAACTAAAAATATCTCCTCTCTTGTCATAAGGTTAATTGGTAAAATTAAGAAATTAATCTTTATTTTTTGGTCTTATATGACTGGATCATAAGATTTCACCCAGACTAATACAAAGTGAAAATCCTCAGTGAGGTAATGGCTGTTATTGTAATTCTCCTTCACCAAATACTGTGGATTTTGCATATTTCTCTGCTTTTATTCATGTGTGTCCATGCTTGAGAGAGCTGAACCTCAGTCTATGCAAGTATCTCGAGTAAAGCATGAGGACATAATGATTAATGGAACATTAACTTCAGCTTTTAATTTAACTTGTAGAACCTGGATCCTATGTGGGGAGGGCTCTTTCGACTACTAAAATATGCTTTGTGACTGTTTCCAACATAACTAATCCTACAAACAAGGAATCCTTTGAGAAGAACGGGGTGGAGCAGCGTTCACAGGAGGGTGACACCAATCTAATCTCAGTCTTATCCAGCCGTGCTGTTCACGTGAGTTTGCTCTCTGTTCATATATCCTGATATATCGCTGGGCAGCATGGCTTTGCTCCACTCAAGATCGCTTTTTTCCATGCTATATTGTGTGGAATAAAGCAAATACATGCAATTTCCTCTTCATTTAGGCTTGTTTGTAGGGATAGATTTATGTACAGCCTCTTTCCATTCTTTTCTGGTGACTAACGTTACAGAAACTTGTCGCCTGTTACTTTACACTCTGATTTTTCACAACAGGCCTCAATTGTGATTGCTCCAAGTACCTGCACTGGCTGATGTGGGAGTCACAAGGAGGTGAAAATAGGAGTTCAGACAAGGTCATATTCATAGAAGAACATTTCCTACCACAGTATCATGCACTCAGTGTGGTTTTGGTACACTACAGAGACCAGAATACTCCTTAAAGCAGGAATCCCCATCAGGCTCCTTTTGACTTGTGTCCTTGGGAAACCACCAAGTTTTGCTTTTTGTCCCGGAGAAGCTGGTAGTTATTCAGCTTGTCTCTTTGAAGCACAATCATTATCCTTGGCTATATCAATAATACAAATACATGTGATATGCACCGTGGCAACTAAACAAGAATGAGCAACGTTTTTTGGGAGAAAAGGCCACGCATGCACTAGTTGGAGGAGATGGATGCAAAGCTGCTCTGTTCATTAGCTGGCACTCAGGCTCCTGGGACACAGGTTTTTCTTTCCAGTTTGTCTGCAGAGTGTCTACAAAGTGCCCTTGAATAAATGAGCAGCACCTTTTCCTGATAGCATTTAATACTGGATAAGCATCGTGTTAAATCTTAACAGCTTGAACCTGCAAGAGCTGAAACACCTCCAGAGTTAAAGTCAGCAAATAATAGCCATTTGTAGAGTGATTAAGTTTACAAAAGCTGACTTACTGATTGTTTTTGCCATATCAGGATCAGGATATCTATGGAAGCTCAAAATTCAGATAAAGCAGCTTACCGTGGTGTGGCATGTAGATAGAGAACTGCTCGAGTCATGAAGAACATTTGTCAAGTGTCTTCCACACCTACGGTAAGGTATAAAAGTTGAATGTTTCTGCGGCTCTCTCATTTTCGTTTTCTGCAGCCTCTTGCTACTCTCTGAAAGGAAAATGATCAAATTTGTGAGTATACACCTTTTTATTGAATTTATATTTTAGAAAGTTCCTTTCTAATGATACAAATGGAGATTTTCTGCTGTTCACTTCAAAAATTACATTTCTTTTATGCTTGTATTATTTTTTAATGAATTTCCAGTTCAGAAGTGTGATCTATTGTATTTTATTTAAGCTGCTGTGCCACTGCCCTGTGTTTCTGTTGAGTGTGAATGTTTGTTCCTTTTACAGGCTGCAATTCTCGCTTTGCTGGGGGTCTTCTTGACCCCGACTTCATCGCAGGTAGGTGGACGGCGAAGCCTTCTGCTGTGTGCACTGCTTTAAAATGCATTACATGCATGGGAATATAATGGGAGGAAAAGCACAGTGCTAATTGCTGAGGGTTAGGAAAATACCCTTTGCCAAAGGAGACAACTGTACAGGCAAAGAGGGGGTTCTGTGCAGCTGTATAGCAACAGGCAATCCCAGGTTGGTCGCCTGTAGCTCAGGCTAAGTTTTGGAGCCTGTTGCAGGCTGCTCCGCACAGGGACAGGCTGCCCCGGGTGCTTCACCTTTTCCTACAATGTGGCTCCATCCTCTCCTTTCCCTGCCTGAATTGAGCTCTTGGCAATTAACTTCCATCCCAAAGGCCTCCTGACATTGCTAGAGAGTTGTAAAGAGACTTGGGATTTATGGGAAGCAATTGCATTTGATTATTTGAAAGGAAGCGCTTTAATTCATAGGATAACGATGAACGACTGTTTTGTGTTTTGTTCCAAAGACCTACGACTTGTCACCTGAAAATGGTTTGGTCACGGCAACTATGACTATTGACAATAAGAGAAACTTGGCTGATGTCCATATCCGCTCTGGGTTGTACTCCTCTGATACCATTTTTGACTACCAGCATGTAAGTAAACCCAAGAATCTGCTCAAACAATCTCTGTGAGGAATTTTTAAACACAGAAAAAATATAGGGGTGTATTTTCATTGTGAGTTGTCTTGAAACTTCCTTTTCCATCGCTTCTCCTCCCCTTTTCCCATCTCTATCTAACACATGTGATGATGCAGTTGTTTAGATTAGGTTTGTAATGAAACACATGGTGGATATTCATGAAAGGGAGCAGAAGTCCAGGGAAGAAGAAAATTTCACTGTTATAGATGGATATTAATATAAGGAGGCTGCTTCAGTTCTCCAAAGGTAACGGTCCAAGTGCAAAGTCATGATGGGCTGTGTAGCAACTTTGTTATTTGTTCACCCTAAAGAATAGGGGCAACTTCCAAGTGGGAATGGTAGCTGTTTTTAATGAACTAACTGTAATTTCTTGTCACAGGGATATATTGCAGCAAGGGTGTTTTCACGGAATGCCTGCTTTATCCTGAAAATGGGCAAAAATACCTTCCCAGAGCTACGGGAAATTGGGCGCAGAGCTTATGAGAAAGAGGTAGTTTTATGGAGATTCTTGTACTGTATATTAATAAAGTTGCATGGGTGGGTGGTTTGACAGAAGCCCTCTGTTCTAGCATTAAGAACAGCTCTTGTTTTTAGGAAATTATGTTACTGGATTTGTAATGATGAAACAAAATGGCAAGATAAAACTTCAAATGAGTATCAAATACAAAATCATTTTAAGAAAA